TGTCTCTGGGCTCAGTCTGGCCGGGTGCTGGGAGCTGTCCTGTGCACTGTGTGTGTCTCTGGCCTCAGTCTGGCCGGGTGTTGGGAGCTGTCCTGTGCACTGTGTATGTCTCTGGGCTCAGTCTGGCCAGGTGTTGGGAGCTGTCCTGTGTACCGTGTATGTCTCTGGGCTCAGTCTGGCCAGGTGTTGGGAGCTGTCCTGTGTACCGTGTATGTCTCTGGGCTCAGTCTGGCCGGGTGTTGGGAGCTGTCCTGTGCACCCCGTGTGTCTCTGGCCTCAGTCTGGCTGGGTGTTGGGAGCTGTCCTGTGCACCCCGTGTGTCTCTGGGCTCAGTCTGGCCAGGTGCTGGGAGCTGTCCTGTGCACCGTGTATGTCTCTGGGCTCAGTCTGGCCGAGTGCTGGGAGCTGTCCTGTGCACCGTGTGTGTCTCTGGCCTCAGTCTGGCCGGGTGCTGGGAGCTGTCCTGTGCACCCCGTGTGTCTCTGGGCTCAGTCTGGCCGGGTGCTGGGAGCTGTCCTGTGCACCTCGTGTGTCTCTGGGCTCAGTCTGGCCGGGTGCTGGGAGCTGTCCTGTGTGCTGTGTGTGTCTCTGGGCTCAGTCTGGCCAGGTGCTAGGATCTGTCCTCTGCACCATGTGTCTCTCTGGGGTGCTGCTGCTGACCAGTAGCCAGCATCCTCATGCCCACCTGAATGCCTGTGCCCATCTGCTCTCTTGCAGCAGCTCTGGTATCCTCATCCTTCTCCCCGACCTCCATGAGCGCATACAGCCTGAGCTCCCTGAACATGGGGACCCTGCCACGGAGCCTCTACTCCACCAGCCCACGTGGAACCATGATGCGGAGGAGAGTGAAGAAGAAAGACTTTAAGAGCTCATGTAAGTGAGGTGGCAGCCAGTGCATGTGGCCCAGAGGGAATGCACGGGCCTAGGGGTCTCGGAAATACTGAGACCTGCCTGATGGGTGGGGGCGCTGACCTGCTGGCCTGATGCCCTTTATCTACGTGGGAATTAATGGTCCCACCAGAGTACAGCTTCACACTGCTTCCACCTACAACTCTTTATTTGAGATATTTTTTCTTGCTTCTTTAATGTCACAATACAACCCAAGATGTGGGTTTTTTTCCTTTAAGATTCCTTTTTTATATTCTGAGTGGTTTTGGACATGAAACCTCTGTTCTTAGTTTATTATTCACTTTAAAGCAATTTTGTGAAAACTATGCCTCATGCATTCACTTGATATTATTATAAATTTTTCATACTAAACTATGAATATATTTTACCTCATTCTCCAAGATTCCAGCACTTTCCCAGGGACGCGCCCTGCTGATACTCGTGGATCTGACACACATTTCTTGTTGATTTCTCCAACCCTGATGCTCGCCTTCACGGCAGCAGCTTAACATCTAGGAATTTCAGCAGTGATTCTCAAAAATGTGATTGGGACAGCCAAACCCACATAACTAAGCTAAGTAGAGAGGCAGGCAGCTGGCTACTTGCCTTGGGCAGTGGGCTGTATGTATAAGAGAGAACGTATGATTGGATGCTTTAAAAAGAAAGAAATACAAATCGCTCCTAAATTTGCCTCCCAGGTAGTGGGAGGTCACACGTGCTCATAGCAATCACACAACTTTTGGAGGAAGAGAACATTCCCTTTCCAGTTGCAGTCTGGAGAGCTGTGAGTGTTTTTTGTCCTCCCTCCCTTTTAGTGGCTGTTATTCCTATAAATAAACTTAAAGAAGATGGGATCTCTTCCTGTGCCTGCCATGGGAATAAAACAGGAAATGCCAAACCGAAGCTGAACGCCCGGTGGCTGGTCCCCCTGACTCTCCAGCTTTGACAGAGAGATGTCCCCCCAGGAGGGTCTGTCTTCCTCCCAGGGCTCCCCCCATCCCAAGACTGGAGACCAACTGTCACCTACTCGGGGAAGTAGTGTCTTGGTGTTGCCGGAACCTGAGGATTTCCTGATGGAGATGTCTATTGCAAAAGACAGGACACCGCTGTGGTGTGTGCGTGGATTTTGACTCGAATATACCTTCACCACAAAAAGACATTCATTGTCTTTGGTTCACAGAAATGACAGTAAACGTGAAACTAGGCAAAGGAAGGAGATTGAGTCTGGTCAGAATGAGGACAAAGCTTCTAGAGCCCCATTTCCTTTTTGCTGAAACTAAAGTGAATTATTTACTCTTGGAAGAAGCTAGTTGCAGGCAACAGAGTGAACTGGTCAGAGCCCAGGCTCTGGGTCCTTGGGCCCTCCCGGTACTGTACTGTCTCTCTCAAGCTTCTGGACCCTGAGCAGGTTCCTAAGCTCTGTGCCTTGGCTAAAAATAGCAACAATTATAGTGCTTCCTTCCTGGGTGACCAAAGATTAAGTGAGACTGCGTGTTTGCATGTGTGTTAGAACAATACCTGCTGACTAGTAAGCTCTAATTCTTAGCTATTTTGAATAGTTTGTATTACCTGTAACATGCTTGAGTGTGAATTGTCAAGTGTGGAAATATCTCACATTTAGGCCTTTTCAGTGGTTGCACTTGACATGAGTACTCAGGCCTCCATCGTCCATAAGACGCTTGCAGGTGGCAGAGAGCATTTACAGCGGGAATTATGTGCACTGGCTGTGTGTCCAAGGCTCATCATTAATGGCCCCACTCACTGCCCACACTACGGCCTGGAGGCAGGGAAGGACACTGTCTCAAAACAACCCCCCAAATAATAAAACCAACAGAAACAGGCTAGCAGCCCTCAGCAGGCAGCAGCTGAACTCGAGAACATCTGTACCTCTGCTTCAGACCTCAGAGTTAGTTTGGGTAAGACCAGCTGCGATTGGGGCCATTACTGAACAGGAACCAGTGATGACATGTCTGGTTATCTCAGGCTGATATTTACACAGCTTAAATTTTGCAGTAGGAAGCAAGGCTGAGGCCACACACAAACAACTCATTCATTGTCTCTGAAATCAGCACATTATCCCCCAACGAGGTAGGAATATGAACAGAAACCCAAGTCGGGACATTTCTAGTTGTTTCTGTCTGCTGTGGGCATTAGCAGACACAGACACCCCACTCACAAGCTACCTACCAGAATGTGGATGAAGTGTCTGAGATCAGACATTTTGTACCTTAATTAAACAATAAAGTCCAAAAGGCCATGAACTTTTATTCCCACTTCTAAATGACCTGGAAAAATATTGTGGAATGCTAAATGTTTTTTAAATTGAGAATTTCTTTCCTTTATTTGTTGTTTAAGCTTCACGTGACCACATTAGACGTAAAGGTCTTGCCAAATAACTGATAGTAAAAGTTTATTGCCACTTCCACCGCGCTGTGGCTTATTCCCACCACTTTATTTATGTCTTTATTCTGTGCCACCACTCTGCCCCCTCTAATGCGCATGTTTCTATAGCAACTGGGCCATTTGTATGGATGGTAGATCATGGCAAAGTCACAAATACAATAAAAAGTCTCTTTGCCATCTTAGTGATGAGCTGAGGCCAAGCCTTTAGAAACAGAAAATTCTCACGCATTTTCAGTACAAAGGAAGGACGAGGTGATAGAAATTATTAGGAGATTTAATATTTAAAATTGATTTATATATTAGACATTGCTTTTATAATTATGTAATGTTACAATTTATATTATAAAATAAGATGATATTAAAGAATTTCAGGAGGACCTTTGTATTGCAAAAGAATGCCCAGAAAATAATGAAATCTTCAGGCAGGGCATGGTGGCTCACTGTAATCCCAGCACTCTGGGAAGCCGAGGCAGGTGGATTGCCTGAGCTCAGGGGCTGCAGACCAGCCCCAGCCAGAGCAAGACCCAGTTTCTAAAACCCCCAGCCATGTGGCCGGCGCCTGAGGCAAGAGAATCTCTTAAACCCAAGAGTTTGAGGTTGCTGTGAGCTATTTACGTGATAGCACTCAACCCAAGGTGACAAAGTGAGACTTTTTCTTAAAAAAAAAAGAAAGAAATCTTCTCGGATGAATATTGAAACCTTCGACTGAAGGGAAACGCAGGACGTCTGAGACAGGTGTCAAAGCCCTAACCCGTTCTCATCTCAGGGGATAAGGAGCGCCCAGCTCAGGCTGAGGGGGCGTCACAAAGCCCCGGGAGGCGGCAGCAGGTCGCAGAGGAGCCTTATCTGCCCCTCACCCCTGACCTCACTGGCCTCCCCGCTGGCCACTTCCTCTGCCGGGTCCGGGCTCCCTGCAGGGCCCGTCCGCCACAGTGCCCGGCCTGTGGCTCCCACCATCGGCTCCCTGCCGCGTGCCCACCGGGTGCGGGACCGCGCGTCCTCCAGGGCCGAAGTCACAGCCCATTTCCAGAGCACTTTGCTGCTTCTGTCACCATCACTTCCTACCAGGGAGAGTGATGCTGAAAGGAAGAAAATGAAAAACCGTAGTAACTTTTCTGGCTCCTCCTACCAGCCTAGGAAAAAAGAATTAAAGATAAGAGCAGCTAATGGTGAGCTTTCAGGAGCGACCTCACAGCAACCAGAGGGCGCACCTGACACTGCCCTCCCGGGAGGCGGAGGCGGAGGCGGGAGCAGCCACCCGCCTCCCTGTCCCTGACGCCTGCGCGGGTTCCCTGGCTGGGGTGGAGAGCTTTAGGGAGGTGGAAGCCTCAAAGTACAGCATCAATAATAAAATCAGTACATTAGTGAGTCTTTAAGGCCCTTTACTCTCTAAACTTTGTGTTTGTGTTTGTTTGAGACCGTCTCACTCTGTGCCCTGGGTAGAGTGCTGTACTGTCATAGCTCACAGCAGCCTCAAACTCTGGGGGTCAAGCGATCTTCCTGCATCACCCTCTGGAGTAGCTGGGACTACAGGCAGTTTTTCTATTTTCAGTGGAAACAGGGTCTCGCTCTTACTCAGGCTGGTCTCCAATTCTTCTGAGCTCAAGGATCCACACACTACCCACCTCGCCCTTGGTCTCCCAGAGTGCTGGAATTACAGGTGTGAGTCACCGCCCAGGCCCTACTCTTCATACTGTTAAAATGCTTCTCATATGTGATAGAAAAATCTCACAGCCTTCTAAATTCAGTAAACATTTAGAAGATTTTTAAATTTTTTGAGCCAGAGAGCTTTGCCTCCCCCGTTCTTCTCCAACAAACACAGTCATTACCCACAAACCTGAATTGTGAGCAAAACCATCCGCGTGTGACCTGGAACAGGGCTGAGCAGATGGGAGTCCTGGAAGTAGTCACGCACCTGTCAGCAAGACCCAGGCCATCACCTTCACCCCCATGGACCTGGACAAGCCTCCAGCCAGAGCCCTAGCTTGCAGCCCTGTGCAAGGTGTCCCCCACTACAGGGAGAATTCACCACACAGGCTTCTAAATGACAGGGTTGTACTTCATTAATCACCTTCATTCTCTCTGGCTGGGTGATCACAGTGATGAAGCAGCCAATTGAATCCATCTCTCTCTTCCAAGTAACACTGATGGTTTTTTCTTTTGACTTGTTTTTAAATCTGCAATTTATCTGGTAATGATTTAAGACTTTATATTGTGAGTAATCAATACATACAATCTCAAATGAAATTTTATTGTTTCTAAGGAAGGACTCCAGTGTCAGAGGACTTTCAGAGTTCATTATAAAACCCAAAATTATTTAACATCATCTTATTTTATAATATAAATTATAAAATTATGTAATTATAAAACCAATGTCTAATACATAAATTTATTTTAAATATTAAATTAAATCTCCTAATAATTTCTGTCACCTCGACTTGCCTCCAGATAGAGCTTATAAATTTAATGATAAATTAGTGTTTATTTCTATATTCGAAACCTTCCAGAGAGTGAAATTCCCCAGCTATCTTCTTTGTTCCAAAAAACACAGAGTCTCACCATTGAGAAGGTCTTCACTGCATCTAACCTAATCCCTCCTGTTACTATTAAATTGACCTGTTGGTTCTTTCTTACTAAAGATAGTAAACAGCTGACATAGGATTTAAAAACAGTTTTTAACACCAACTAAGCAGCCTGAAAATCTATATCAAATTGAGGTCTTAAATGGGAAAAATATTAATATGAAAGCTTAGAAAGATTTATGGAAAGTAAAGTCTTCCCAGTAAAGTCCAAAAAGCCTCACCTGGAGGGTGAGTGGAAGGAGCCTGCCAGACAGGTGGCACTGAACCTTCACGCTCCTGCCAGCCCCGTGTAATAAAGGGAAGAGAAACACACTCCGGGTCCTCACTGGCTGGCGGAGATGCTGCCAGTCTGCAGAGCAAAGCACATTGGACAGCAGCAAAGGACCTTCCATCTGAATTAAATGCAATCTGGAGTAAGATGTACCCGTCCGTGGGCCAGACGCCTGCAGACGAGGCTGCCCTCGCCCGCATCCCCACCCCTCGCCCCCACGCCATCTGCACTGACTTTCGTCCAGCTGACACACTGAGTATGGGGCTGCTTTAGGAAAGGTAGTTTTCTCCCTCACTCATCCTGGATGATGATTCACCTCGCCCTCCCCTGCCCTGGCAGCTGCAGTGATCTGCCATGGTAACGGCAGGGGAGCGGGTCCTGAGGAGCAGCCTCCACATGTACACTGCAACAGGACAGAGAGGGTGACTCCCAGACGTGGTGCCAGCACACGGCGGGCAGCCGGACTCAAACCCCCGGTGACAGCAGCTCCTTGGGGTGATTCCGCAGCAGTGACGGGAAGTGGATTCCAAAAGGGAAAACATGGATGATGTCACCGCACTTGATTCCTTCCCCATTTCTACAGCATTTATTCTATGTTCCCGGCACCAGGATTTCAGAGATTAAAAGATCCAGCCCCAGCCTTTCAAGACATCAGGGTCAAGTGGAGACACAGGCGGATAAAAGCCTGATTATCACTGAGCTTGCATGATGTGCTGGAAACATGGGAGTAAAGGAAAGTGAGTCTCAGTTCACCTGGGCAAAGCAGAGAAAGGAAACTGAAAACTCTGGGTAAGGGCTAGAGGGACAGCAGGGCTCTGTGGATATGAACATGGAACACTCAGGCCAAGCAGGGCAGGTGCATTGCTCAAGGGCAGGAGGACGGGAGCCCTGTGTGCTCTGCTAGGCTGAAAGGTGCTCCATAAGAAATGGGCCGTGTGAAGACTCTACACCAGGGGTGACCATGTGTGTTAGGGAGGTGCCCTGGCAGTGACTGAAGGCTGCACAGGTAAGATCAGAGGCAGGGACACAAGTTGAGGTCTGCACAGAGACGTCTGCCTCAGTCACAGAGGTCTGCACAGAGACGTCTGCCTCAGTCACAGTTAGAGGTCTGCACAGAGATGTCTGCCTCAGTCACAGAGGTCTGCGTGGAGACATCTGCCTCAGTCACAATTAGAGGTCTGCACAGAGATGTCTGCCTCAGTCACAGAGGTCTGCGTGGAGACATCTGCCTCAGTCACAGACATTTAGAGGTTTGCACAGAGACGTCTGCCTCAGTCACAGTTAGAGGTCTGCACAGAGATGTCTGCCTCAGTCACAGAAGTTTACACAGAGATGTCTGCCACAGTCACAAGGCTCCTCTTGTAAGGTGGATTCTCATCAGGAAAGTTCATCTGGCAACAATGTGAAGAAAACAGTGGGCATGAGAGGGTCCCAAAATAGGTAAAACAGGCTCAGCGCCTATAGGTCAATGGGCTAAGGCGCCAGCCACATGCACCTAAGGTGGCGGGTTCGAATCCCCAGCCCGGGCCCGCCAAAACAACAATGACGGCTGCAACCAAAAAATAGCCGGGCGTTGTGGCGGGCGCCTGTGGTCCCAGCTACTTGGGAGGCAGAGGCAGGAGACTCGCTTGAGCCCAGGAGTTGGAGGTTGCGGTGAGCTGTAATGCCACGGCACTTGGCCCAGGGGGACAGCTTGAGGCTCTGTCTCAAAAAAAAAAAAACAAAAAACAAAATAGGTAAAACATATATATTTGGTTAGGTGAAACAAAAGAAGCCTGAAAGAAGACTTTGAAATTAAGAAGGGAAAGTGTATTTTGTGAGACATATTCAGAGTCATCCTGAATATCACTTTGGTGATCCACCGTATCTGAGACAGTGGGGAGCTCCAGGTCCCAGGCTCCGTGCAGACTTCAGCCTGGAGGACACAGTGGTGGGCAGGGAAGACGGCTGACTCGGCTTTGAAAATGCTGAGTTTGAGGAGCCAAAGAGACATTGTGTAGATAGGGCATCCATCAAGCAGGAACATCCGTCACTGGGGCATAACAGAAACCAAGGAGGATGTTTGAGAAGATGCACACAGAGTGGGTGTGACAGACGTGCTGGGGGCGGGCGGGGCAGGAAGGGACAGAAAGACTCAGGCGGCAGCACAGCCGAGCATGGAGGGGCAGGAGGGCTGAGACAGTGGGAAACTGAGCAAAGCACCATTAAATCCTACTGGACGGTTTTGGAAAGAAAGGGAGTGTCCCAGGCTTGGAGATGCAGCTGACCATGTCAGGGTGTCCTCTGCAAGGGCAGTTTCAGGAAAGGAGGGGGCAGAAGCCAAATTTTAAACAGTTTCCGAATCTGTACAAATCTGTAGACCGAGGTCAGAAAGCCCAGGAGTGAGCAAGGAACTTTGGAAAAGCAGCAGGGCCGCAGCTTTTGTGGCCCAGAGTCACAGAGAGGGTGGAGGGGACTGAACAGGATGAAAAACACTGAAGGGAGAGGCAGCCACGTCCTCCTGGAGAGGGAGGGGAGAAGAGGGAACATTGAGGTTGAAAGAATTTCATGTCGGCAGCTCTTATCAAACAGAGCATCTTTTCAGTTTTATAAGAAATATGGTGAAAAGTGAAGTTTATCCTTTACTAGAATAGAAACATTTGAAAACAGATCCTTTGAGGACCCAGATAAGGTGCCAAAATATTACACAATAAAGGGCCAGTGGAGGTGTGAGCTGCCCGGGCCTTTCTCTAGGAAAGGGATTTTCAATTGCTGTGCCATGAAATTTTTTAAAGATCATTAAATTATTTTTGAAAGATATTCAAAGCACAGTAGGCATAATATTTTTGCTTTTTTTTTTGAGACAGAGTTTCATTTTGTCACCTTCTGTAGAGTGCAATGGCATCACAGCTCACAGCAACCTCCAGCTCTTAGGCTTAGGTGATTCTCTTGCTTCAGCCTCCCAAGTAGCTGGGACTACAGGTGCCCACCACAACGCCCTGCTATTTTTTTGTTACAGTTTGGCCAGAGCCGGGCTTGAACCTGCCACCCTCGATATATCGGGCAGGCGCCCTACTCACTGAGCCACAGGCACTGCCTAATTTTACTTTTTTTTGATCAACATAATTAAAAGTGTGCTGCCAGAGCTTAACTATAGATTCAAGTGTGCTATGAGATAAGAAAGGTTTTGAATCACCACTCCAGGCCATCAGCGGCTCAGTGCAGCAACGGGGCTAACAGACGGATCAGCGGACACAACCTGTTGGGTACAGAAGATTCTCTGAGACTGAAAGCACACACCTCCCTGAGGTGGTCGCCAGGCCCAGGATGCAAGTGGAGGAGACGGCACCTTCTCCCCCAGATACCCACAGGGATCTCCATCCAACCTTGCCTGCAGGGCCCCATCTTTGGAACACATATGAAGAGGAAACCTGCCAACAATACTGTCTGAAACACAGAGACACAGGAGAGGAATGGGACCCAGTCCCACGAAGAGGGACCAGGAAGGTGGAGGCAAGGGGGTGTGACCAGCAGGCTGAGGGGGACTTGGTGCTGGGTCTCAGAGCTCCGCTCCTTGGGAAGAAGGTGGGGCCAGCCCTGGACGCTGCTGGCACAGGGCAGAAGCGGGTAGTTTCCAGGACCTGGGGGACAGTTGGAGCCCTGCAGCCTGTCAGAGGGTCACCACCACGAGGTCCACGGGGCAGAGGAGCAGGAAAGGAGGCAAAGAGACAAAGCCTGCAGTAAGCAAGGAAAGGGACATTTTGAGCAAGTAGACTGTGATCTGAAGACAAGACAGAAATGAGCACAGATGTTCTGAATGGAGTGATCTAAGCCAAAGGGCTGGGGGGTGGGGGGCAGAGCCCACTCTTCTCACCCCGGGGGTGGGGGGTTAGAGAGAACGACTCTGGCTGGAGGGCTTTTGATGTGCGTGGTCTCCGGTCTCAGTTGAAGCAAGAGGGGGGACAGAAGGCTCTTCTGGAGGAAGTGCCAGTCCATGTCAGCCCTGCACATGGAGAGCAAGGTGGCCTGGCCCTAGGGGCAGAACAGAGAAAATGGAATCTAGGCCCTGAGTATGTAAATTAGACAAAGACGTCTGCCCGGAGGATTTATGAGTATCAGAGAAGTGGATGAAACAGAAGGTGGGCTAGGGCCCCAGTGGGAAAGAACGGGGACTGGAGAGACTGAACTCGGGGGGCAGGAGGAAGGCACGGGGTTTAAATGGCTCCATTGTGCCACCACAAGGCTAGGCTGAGGCCAAGGACAACCACGGCCTCAGCTCTCAGACCACATTAGATTAATCATTCCTCCAAAGCTGGAGGTCAAACCATGTAGGTTACTAAAGCCCAGACGCCATCAGCTGAATGGAAGAACCACTAGCCCAGCTCCCTTGTCCTTAGCTAGGATGCGGTCACACAGATGTGGCACAGCCACCTCAAGGTTCCTGGTCGCTGCTCAGAGCCCACAGAGCTGGCCCCAGGCTGTCCTCTTCCTACAGCCCCTCAACGGTACCTGGTCTGAGACATGGGGATGTGGAGGATGCATGGGTGTCATGTCTAAAATGTGGCATTTGATGGGAGATTAATTTGTCTTGTTCAAGTCTGGCTGAACTGCTTTCTACAAGACCAGAGTCTAATCTCCCACTGTTGCCAATGAACTTATGTTCAGACACTCTGTTTTGGAGCTGCTGCTGTCCCTGGCTGCTCTGCTAATGTCACTTCTCCTCTCTATCCCTCCAGTGTCCTTGGCCTCCAGCACCGTGGGCCTGGCTGGGCAGGTCGTTCACACAGAAACCACAGAGGTGGTGCTGACGGCAGACCCCGTCATGGGGTTCGGGATCCAGCTGCAGGGCAGTGTGTTTGCCACCGAGACGCTCTCCTCCCCACCTCTGATCTCCTACATCGAGGCTGACAGCCCAGCGGAGAGGTGAGCTGTCACCCCCAGCACCGTCTCTGGCACCTGCTGACTCTGAATGGCTAATAAATTATGGAACGTTGCTTAGTGCAGGAAAGGCAGGATGTAATGAACTCTCTTCTGACCATAAAATTTTATGTTCTTGATCAGGTTTAGGGAGTATACTGGGTCGGGATGCCTTTATCTAGCAGATTTTGTCCATCAGCAGACTGGAGGCTGTATTAATTAAAAAGGAGAAAATGCATAGAAAACATATCCCAAGTTCAAACTTTAATAATTTCTCTCCCGTTGGGGAATGTACATTCATCATCACTGTGTATTGGTTCAGATCAGATCCTGACAGCATCATGGCTATGAATTATTAATCACTTCCTCACGATTCCCTTACTTACTGATTTAACTGTGAAATGCAGTAGGATATGTGTAAGACTCTGACGTTGGCCTCATGTGATACTCACAGCATTGACCATAAAAGACCAAAGGTAACACTGTTTTGCAAAGATGAGACCAGGAAGACTTGGCGGGCTCACCTCGCTGATGATGCCCCTGCCCCCGGCCGCTAACGTGTGGTTCCCAAACAGGTGTGGCGTGCTGCAGATCGGAGACAGAGTGGTGGCCATCAATGGGGTCCCCACGGAGGACAGCACCTTCGAGGAGGCTAACCAGCTGCTCAGAGACTCCTCCATCACCAGCAAGGTCACCCTGGAGATCGAGTTCGACGTTGCAGGTACAGTCTCCTGATCTTGAGTCGGGCTGCGTGTGGATTATGTGGGTTAGGAGGCCGAGGGAGGACTGTTCTTTTAATTTACTGAACATGCTTTTTCTTAGGGGATGGGAGTGTCATTTTGAATTGAACACTGTTTGTGTATTCTTTATTAAACTGTCACCACAAGAACAATGGAAAATAAACATGGCCAATTGAATAAGTAGTGGCCACTACAGCAGTGATAAAAAGAAAAATCACAGGGCCTTCATTCTTTCTGACTCTGCTCGTGCCAGAGAAGCCACATCCCTGAGGCACAGAGGCAGGAAAGGCCCCTGGACCCTCCCACAGCAAAGACCTCCCCAGCTCTGCAGAGCATGAGAATTTGTGAGGTACATTTAAAGGACCCCAATAGACAGAAGCTTCTTTTGGGGTGTTAAGGAGAAATTACACCAGATGCTTGTTAGAAATGACAAGAAGGACTTCATTCAAGGCTCCTGTGTCAGGGGAGAAATTGAACTCCCTCCACACGTGTGTAGCCGGCACAGGCCAGTGTGAGGGGCCTGTAGGCAGATGGCCGGGAGGAATTTGACTCGGTGTCACAGTTGGGGGCACTCTTCTAACGCGGGGCTCCCAGGCTAGTGTGAGGCCCAGTCCAGGAGAGGCTGGGGTCTGGGCATGACACCTGTGCACCCTCCCCACACACCCACATCTTAGACAGGCACCGCTGAGGGGCTGCAGGAAGAGGACAGCCTGGGGCCAGGAGCTGGGAGCACTGTGGAGTGTGGAGGTGGGTCTGCCCTGCTTGGAAGGCGCAGCACATGGGGCAGGTGGTGCTCCTGGTCTGTAACCTGCCAGTCTGTAGATCCGCCTTACCTCTCTGAGCACTGCTGAGTGTTCAGTCTGTAAGATCCGCCTTACCTCTCCGAGCACTGCTGAGTGTTCAGTCTGTAAGATCCACCTTACGTCTCTGAGCACTGCTGAGTGTTCAGTCTGTAAGATCCACCTTACCTGAGCACTGCTGAGTGTTCAGTCTGTAAGATCC